TTCCTGCAACCGTTCTTCATATGTTTTAGCCTCCAGTCCCCTAATCATCTTTGTTGCTCTGCACTCTTTCTAGAGTCTCCACATCTCTTCTACATCGTGGCGACCAAAACTGAATCCATCTAATCAGAAAAATCCCAAATTAAAGTTTTGTTCCCCCCCTCCCTGCACCTCAAGCACAAAGTCCAGAAGCTGTTTCCGAGTACAGTTCCTGGTAATCTAGATCTAGACAGGATAGTGGGGAATGGAAGGATTTATTCCTTGCAGACAGCTGGTCATTTGCATCCTTTTAGAGGGTCATTGAGGCCACTTGGAGGATTTATATTCCTTGCAGACAGCTGGTCATTTGCATCCTTTTAGAAGGTCATTAAGGCTACTTGGAGGTTTATTTGTGTCCTCAGGGTCACCTGAGTGGCGCAAATGGTTCCTGTACTCTGCAATTTTTTCCTCTGGAAATCCATTCCTACTCCCACACCATTCTAAGGGTCTTCATCCCAAATTGTATAGGTGAAAGTCTGTAGAGATTCTCAGTCATCCAAGTCATGGTTGTCCCAAAGGTGCTTTTTCAGGAGGAAACTGGACTTTCTTGTTTTTACTTTGAAGACTGTCCTGTCAAAAGCTTCTTGGATGAGAAGCAAAACGTCTTCAAAGAAAAAACATGAAAGTCCAGTTGCCTCCTGAAAAAAAGCACCTTTGGGACAACCACCTTAATTAGCAAAAGAAATTCTGGTCCCAGCTGAGGTTGTAAGTAAAGGACTTCCTGTAACACCAATGTGGAATCCTTCTGGGGAATTTAGGGGGCTCTTTTCTTATAGATCAAGGGGTCAAATCATCCGTAGCCCTCCAAATGTTGGTAAGCTCCCAACAGCCTTAGGAAAGAAGGCCAGTTTTGAAAGATGCTGCTCGCTGTACTTCAAGAAGATCTGGGATGTCCCTAGTTGCCTATCTTGATATAGATCTTCAACATTTCTACTTTATTTTTTTGCAATGTTTAACGCTATTTTGTGGTTTTACCATAAAGATCCTAAGTTTTAACCAGGGTTGAAATGCTAACGGTTCGGGTGTACCGGTATTTCCAGTTCACCAACAAACGCGCGATAGACATATGCGCGCCAACAAAACTGTGATGGACAAATGAGCACCGTCAAAATTGCTAATTGATTTTCAACACTAGCGCGCCAACAAATGCACGCTGACAAAATTGCATCATCAACAAACTATAGACAAACTATAACCCTAACCCTAACAGTAATTTATTCGTTTTTATTGTGCTTGTCATCATGCTTTTGTCGCGCTTTTGTCGGTGTGATTTTGACGTTGCGTTTTAATCGGCACTATTTTGTTGGCGCGTATATGTCTATCGCGCAATTGTCGGGTCACGGTATTTCCGACGATCAGCTATTACGCGTGATTTATATTAGCTAGAAAGCAGGATTACTAGCTAATCTAAATCGCGTGGCACAGCAGATTCCCTCCCCCCCCCCTCGCTGTTCTACTTACCTTTGCAGGAGTACTTGGTAGCAGGCTCCGCCCACCCACCTGGACATCATCACGTCCATTTTTGACATTCTGGGCATGCATGGAAGGTCATGCGCATGCATGGAGATGGGGTGTGAGAGCGGAACGTGCACACAAGCACTCACATTTGCGAACTGGTAGCAAAGTTAAGTGGATTTCACCCCTGATGTTAACTGAGTGGAACCACAATTCTAAAATGCATTAAAGAAACAAATAACATTATTCTCTCTCTCCCGTTCCCTAGGTTTCTTCCGAAGGTTCCGTCTTAAAGCTGTCCAGTCAAGCAAGGCCTGCAATCTGCCTTCCATGTTTACTTCCGCGGTGCCTGTAGACTCTGCCACTAAGGAGGCCTTGCCTTTAGCACTTCAGGTTTGCAACACAGGTAGGACCACCTGAAATGAGTGTGTAATTATTTGTCTAATTTCTACACTGCCCATCACATTTGTGTGATTCTGGGTGAGTTCTAAGTCAAACAATAAAATCGTATAAGTGCCATAGTTAAAAACAAAGTTAAAAACCAAGTCAAAACAGAATTAATAAAAACAATTAAAGTTAAAAGAGAATTAAAAGGCAGAGGAAGCACCTTCAACCCACCCAACCATCCTCAGGATTGCATGGCATTCTTAGATCCTCATGCCAGTTGGCAGGTCTTGACAGGCTTCCGAAAAGCTAGGAGAGTGAGGACCTGCCTCGCCTTTGGGTGGAGGTGGGGGTGGTATAGATGTTCCACAGGAAAGGGGAGACAGCAAAGAAGGTTCTCCTTAGACCCCACCAGTTGAAATTCTTTAACCAGAAAGGTCTATAAAATATTTTCCTTGCCTGGCGGAAAAATTCCACTATAAGCATTTAAGCAGAATCCCGAGTATTCATTCATTATATTATGCCCAAATGTTTAAAATTTGATGCATCCTTTTCTTTCTTTCTTTCCTTCCTTCTTTCCTTCCTTCCTTCCTTCCTTCCTTCCTTCCTTCCTTTCAATATAACAATTCCTATTTAGCATTACTGCAGTGTGTGTGTGTGTGTGTGTGTGTTCCAGCATAACTCTGGAACGCCTCGAAGAATTTCAACCAAACTTGATACACAGATGACTTACTCTCTGGAAAAAAATATTGTGGGGGTAAGACACCCCTAACACCCCTCGGGGTGTGTGTTCTGTTAAGATACAGCCTGTTGTGCCTTGAAATGACTTCTATTGTACTGCCGGAAAATGGCTTCTACTGTGCAGCCCAGGGGAGTTGCCATGGTAATGGCTTCACAGTACTCCACAAGGGGGGTTCCTCTGGTAAGGAAGAAAATCCAACATTAGAAATTACATTTGGTCCAGACATTTTCCCCCTATAAATAAATACCCAGACAATGCCGGGTTATCTGCTAGTCTAATGTAAAATACACCATTTTTCCTAATATCCATGATACAAACAATGGCAGAAAGCAAATCAAATGCTTGCAGAATGTTGGTTCCATCCAGTAATTACAATTTTTCTCCCTTTTGGTAATTAGTTGCATCATAAATAAACATTTATGAAACACCAACAAATAAATGGAAATAAACTTGATCAGTTCTACAGTTTAGTAAGTTTAGACGTTGGGCTTAGCAAATGTATAGAGGGGAGATACTGTTTAGAGGGTTTTCTTCAAAATGCTAAGCTGGGCACTTTTTTTCCTGCTGTGTTTTTGACTTTCATTTGCTCATTTCATTAAAAAGGTCTGGTCTTGTGCTTGAGCTTTGGCTCTTGACAATATTTGCTATCTTAGCCTCTGACTAAAGAAGAGAGGTTTGCTTTTGACATCCAGAGCTGTAGGAATAAAATGTACTACAAAACCAGTATTGTTGAAGCCAAAGAGAAGAGCAATAAAGATAGTTAGGGGACTGGAGGATAAAACATATAAAGAATGGTTGAAGGAACAGGATATGTTTAGTTTAATGAAAAGAAGGACTAGGGGAGACATGATAGCGGTGTTCCAATAGCTCAGGGGTTGTCACAAAGAAGAGGGAGTCAAGCTATTCTCCAAAGCACCTGAAGGCAGGACAAGAAACAATGGGTGAAACTAATCAAGGAGAGAAGCAACCTAGAACTAAGGAGAAATTTTTTGACAGTGAGAACAATTAATCAATGGAACAATTTCCCCCCAGAAGTTGTGAATGCTCCAACACGAAGTTTTTAAGAAGAGGCTGGACAGCCACTTGTCTGAAGTGATGTAGGGTTTCCTGCCTAGGTAGGGGTTGGACTAGAAGACCTCCAAGGTCCCTTCCAACTCTGTTATTCTATTCTAATTGTACATCATTGAAATGGCAACAGGAGAACTGGAAATAAGTCTAATCACCCTGACTCTGCTTTCTCCCAGACGGTGTAAACAACCATCAGAAAGGGTCCCGTTTAGTCAATCAGCGTCATCCGAGTTACTCGCTAAGCCTGGGACAGAGACAGGATTCCCTGGACTTGGACGATACTCTTGTTCCTGCAGGTACAAACGTCACTTGATCTGTTTGATTTGAAATTGGACCTTTATTATATGGGCAGCACAGTGGCTCAGCGGTTAAGGATGCTGAGCTTGTCAGCTGGAAAGCTGGCAGCCCAGGTTCGAGACCCAAGCACTGCACGACAGGCTGAGCTTCCTGCCAACCTATCTGCTTGAAAGCATGGAAATGCGAGTAGATAAATAGGTACCACTTTGGTGAGAAGATAACAGCGTTCTGTGATGTCATGGAAATGTCTTCGGACAGCGCTGTCTGAATGGCCTTGATGTGGAGAAGAGCACCGCCCATGATGGTGCAATGGTTAGAATGCAGCATTGCAGACTAACTCTGCCAACTGCCAAGAGTTCGATACTGACTGGTTCAAGGTTGACTCAGCCTCCCATCCTTCTCAGGTGGGTAAAATGAAGACCCAGTTCATTGGGGGGGCAAGAGGCTGATGCTGAACTGCTTAGAGAAAGCTGTAGAGCACAGTGAAGCTGTATCTATATAAATGCTATTGCTATTCTATTAACAAACACAAGTGCTTGTGTTAGATCTTCCTGTTTTGACTTAGCAGGCTGTGTGAACCCAGCTAGTGAGTGCACATCAGCAGAGGGAGGGGGCAGGAACCCAGATCAAATAGCTAGGGGCTTGGAAAAATGTGCAGAAGGGGAGAAGGGATGTGTGGGTCAAATGTAGCCCTGTTGTTCTGGGTATCCTTCAGTGGGTCTTGTGCACATTTTGTAAAACTTATCCCCCCTACTTGGACGGCCAAAGACAAATTCTTTGTGTGTCCAATCATATTTGGCCAATAAATACCGATAATTCTATTCCATTCTATTCCATGAACCCAATGAATTAGGTGGATATGCTGGCTTGGTAATGTAGGAGTTACAACCCAACACATTTGGCCACTACCTCTTTTTAAATGTTGATTTATTTTTCCGCTTCCCCGTGGAATAATAATTCTTTTAGTAGTTTCTCTGCAAGCCCTCTGATCTGTTGAAAATATTTCTTTTCCCGCCCTCCCCCAGCAAATCGCTCCGGGGTGCGCATCACCTCTGGCATTATGTCTCCATTAAGTTTTAGAGCCTCGTTCTCCTGTAGCTAAATTCTGGGGGGGGGGGGGAAAGTCTGTTTCTATCTTGCTCCTATTTATATTCCCGGGAGTGAGAAATAGCTGTGCTTCCCAGCAACTGCACGTAGCAGCACAAGTGCTGGGAAACGGAGAGCAATTAAAACTGGGAACGTTGGATCAGGTGATCGGGTGAGCAGTTCTGCCACAATTTGCACGGAAGCCAACCTGCATGGTAACCCATTCGTTATCTTTGCTCTCTGGAACAAGGCAACATGATTGCTGAGTTCACACAACCTATTTAAGCCTAAACCCACCAGTATTCTGACATAGGCTTCCCCAGCAGCACAACGCCAAATCCTCATCCCGATAAACCCCTTTTATTTAATTAACAGTGAATTCCTCTCCAGCAAAGTCCCGGCCCACAGTCTTTCAAGGTATTCCCCAATCCCCACCCTTTATCGGCCTTGGACGGGGGCAAAGCCGATATCTTTCAGATGCTGCAATACTTGGCAAGAATGCAGGAATGAACTAATTGTTTCCTTCAAACTCCACTCCACTTTTGCTCCTCTTTTATTTCCTCTGGGAGGGGCCATTCACTGTCCACCTGTGGCCTTACTCCCAAGTCGACCCTTGTTCCTTAGCCGTTCCCTTCATCTGGCAACTCTGCGCATTTGCACACTGGAAACAGGCTCC